ACCTCTACCTCGCGCCTGGTCACACACGAAAGCCTCGCCTCCCTCGATCTTGCTGATCTCCATTCGCCTGGTCGACAGTCCCTGCTTGCACTCGACTGAAGACAGACCCGCACTCGCCTTCTCCCTGCGACGAAGGGAACCCACTCTCTCGCTCTCTGCTCGATCCCTCCTCCCTGCCTCCGTCTCCCGCACCGAAGCCGCAGAGCTTCTCCCGCACTCGCCTTCCTCTCTGCGCCTAAGAAAGTCACTCATCGCCTGCTCGATCCCGCCACCCACGTCGAAGCCCACACCTCTTCTGCGGACGTTGTCTGCGGACGTTGAAGCCCTCGCTCCTCTCTGCGAAGACCGAAACCCTTGCTCGCCTCTCAGCCTCTGCTTCCGATTTTGGGCAGTGACCAAATCTTAACAAACACAGAACCAATGTGTCCCTTTATTTTCTCTTGATCGAAAAAGCTCTCCTAAAGGTATATCTTCTACCAAAACAAATTTCTGTATGATTTTCTTCTATTTTTGAAAGCATGCTAGTGTTTGGTACTTCTAAAATAAAACGAAATGTGTATGCAGGAGATGCTTGTATGAAATATGATAGATTTCACTTGATTTTTGCTATTTTATTTCGATATTTGTGTGGGATGTGTCTTAATAAATTCATTTGGACATTCATGCATTTACCTATCTTTTACAATACACATAAGCTTCAGTATTTGTATGTCTACTTGCTGAATTGAAATTTTCGGAATGACATATATGCTGTTTTAAGTCTTATAAACTTGTGGTCTTAGAAAAATAAAATGTTATTTTGTTTGTCTTGTATTTCTGTTGTTGGGAAGAGTTAAATATTGTCGTATTTGAGTCATATTGTTGCTGCTTGGAAGCACTAAATAGTAGTTTCTACGAGTGTTGTTTGGGTCCATTTTTTTTTAAAAAAAAGTTGTTCGAGGCAATTTAAGTGAGGTTTGAGGGTTATTTTGGGACGGGTTCAGACTGGTTTCGCTGCAGTTTTCAGGAGCTTTAAATGTACCTTTTTTTTTAAGGGAGACTTTGTTACTATTTTGGGCCAATTTTTCTAGCTAATTTTGTAATATTTAAAATTAATGTTTTGGGCTTACATGAGAGTTATTTGAGAATTTTAAAATTATTGTTTGGAGCATTTTAAATGTGATGTTGGAGGCCTTTAAAAGTCTTGATTTGGAAAACTTTATTTATAGTTTTGGGTTTCATTTAATTATCATTTCAATGCTTTTAGACTGATTTACTTATTGCTCTTCCCCCTTTTTGGCTTTGCTAGTTTTGGAAGTGGGTCGGCCTTCTTCAATTTTAAAAAAAAAAAGTTGTTTGAGGCAATTTAAGTGATGTTTGAGGGTTATTTTGGGACTGGTTCAGACTGGTTTCGCTTGGTTCAGACTGGTTTCGCTGTTTTCGGGGCTTTAAATGTACCCTTTTTTTTAGGGAGACTTTGTCACTGTTTTGGGCTAGGTTTCCTAGCTAATTTTGTAACATTTAAAATTAATGTTTTGGGCTTACATGAGAGCTATTTTGGAATTTTAAAATTTGTTGTTTGGGGGCTTTTAAAAGTGTTGATTTTGAGTGCTTTAAAGTATTTTTTTTTGGGGTTTGACCTCAGAAAGGTTTTGAGCATCATTTAAGCACTGATGTACATATTGATTTGAAAAATTTAAATGTTATTTTGGGCCGACCAAAACACTGTCTTGGAGTAGATTTAAATGCTCTTCTTGAAAGCCGATTTAGTTACCCGATTTAGTTACAATTTTCGATTTAGTTACAATTTTTGAAAAAGTTTGAATGTTTTTAGGCCGATTAACTTATTGCTCTTCCCCCTTTTCGGCTTTGCTAGTTTTGGGAGTAGGTCGGCCTTCTTCTTTTATTTTGTTTATTTTTAAATGGTTAAGTCATAAAGATGGGGATTGATGATTTAATTAATTAGAAGATATAGAAAACCTCAAATCACCTTATGCATAAGTTAAAGTGTAGGTTTCCTAAAACTTTAAGTGCACACTATAAGTGAGAGTCCATCCACTTAGCCCTCAGTGTAGGCTTTCTAGACTTTAGGTGCACACCATGTGTGAGAGTCTATCCACCTAGTCGTCGGTTTAGGCTTCCTACACTTTAAAAACACACCCTAGGTGAGAGCCAATCCACCTAGTCCTCAGCATAAACATCCCAAGGTTTTAGGAGCACACCCTAGGTGAGAGCCCATCCACCTAGTCCTCAGCATAGACTTCCTAGTTTTTAGGAGCACACTCTAGGTGAGAGCCCTTCCACTTAATTCTCAGCACAACATCCCAAGGTTTTAGGAGCATACCCTAGGTAAGAGTTAATTCACCTAATCCTTAAATACACAATGAAACTTGACACTTGACCCTGATTCACAAACTGATCAAGACATTAGACACCACAGGATGCACCGAGACGTGAC